AACTGAAAGTAGCTATTCAGCCCTAGCCCAAACAATAGGCCTAATCAAGACCCAACGATAGGGAATTTAGAAATCAATGGGCCTCTTCACCATAGGGGCGTGACTAACCATCCCCACCCAGTCCTCAAATAGGCCACGCTCAGCTTTTTAGCGCAGAGCAACTTCCCGGAGTCTTCACGGAGACTTCAGGGTTGTCTACCGCTGACGAAGCTCCTGTGAGAGAAGCGAAACGTCCTTTTTTGTTTTTTGTTTTTTACCCACAGGTACAGATGACGACTGACAGAACCCTTTCTACGATATATTGTTGAAAGTATTTTATTTTGCCAACAGTTTTCACGGTGTTGGTGTACCAAGACAACCCCAAAGACACTATTAAACACCCGTCATTTGGAAACCGTGCCCTGATTTTAGTTACTTTGGAGCTACAGTGAAAACTCACCCAGCCCAGCGCCGGTGGGAAGTAGCCATTTGACGACGGCAGTGCAGCGAGACCAAAACGGTACCGTGGCGATACAGCAGAAGGCGCTATTACCAAGGCCATCGCTCACAAGCTCAACAAGCATAGTATCAACTTTATTCAAAGAAGTGAAGTAGGAATCGATAAAAAGGACTGTGCTAAAGGTAGAATTAGGGTGATACAGTAAAGTTTAAAGGTTCACTATAAGTTTCTACAGCACAGTCAAAGATTTGATTTCTTCTGAGTTTAGAGTAATGTTCGAATTCGAATACCTTTTGTGCATTTATTTTGAGCTAAATTGAGATTTCTTACAATCATCAAAGGACTGAAATATAAGTTTAGGTGTCTCGAAAGTGAAAGTTATAACCCCTAAAGTTTTGTGGTTCAATTTAGAACACTGACTTAGATTTGACTAAGCATTCAAAATGACTGAAGAAAATAAGGAACAGTTCCGTACTGCAACACTTAATGAAGGTGATGAGAAGTATACAGCCATCGAAGCTTCAGAAGTACAACCAGTTCGTAAAAGTGAAAGAAGAATAACACTTACTGAGAAAGGAAGATGTCTTCAAGAAGATAAGCTCAAAACACTGCTTCACAAATATGCAGTTGTATTTGAAAAGTGGAGATATGAAGCAAGAATGAGTAAAATCATGCTCAGAAAAGAGGCTTCAGAAAGTGAACTCAGAGAGCTTATTTCTAAAATATATGCAACCTGTGAAGAGGTACAAGCAGTTTTTCTCCAAATAAGAAAAATATATAGTCCTTAAGCTGAAATAAGACGCAAAGTGGATGTTTGCGCATCACTCACTTCGTTCAGGCTGAACAAGGACTTGAAGGTCATTTTGACGAGGAAGAACCCTGGCCAGATGTTGAGTCATGTCTAGGCTCTAGTAGCTCAAGGTCAAAATCCAGAAAATCCAAAAGTAACTCAAGTGAAGATTCTCACACAAACAAAAGAGTAGAAGCAGAAGCCGAGTTGGCAGCATCAAAAGAAATAATGGCGGTATTGATGGAACAAGAAAAAGAAGCAGCTTCACTACAGAAATTAGAGCGTTAGAAATTTGAGAGAGAACAGTTAATGGAAGATCAACGCAGAAAAATCCAGCATTTGGAAGAGTTGAAGAAACTAAACGCTGCTATGGCTCGTGTGAAGATTTATGAAGAGCAGGGGCGTCACTAGGTTTCAAGAACAAGGGGGGCTTAGCCCCCAGGGGAACACAGCCCCTTTAAGGGGGTCCGGGGGCATGCCCCCCCGGGAGAATTTTTTTCTACATTCTGTTAAAAATCCATAAATTCCGTGCACTTTGAGAGCAAAATGAAGAGGCTATGAAGAACTACACACATCACATTAGTATCCTCTTTACTATGATGGGGCTTCCTCCCCTGGACTTTAACTGGACTAGATAATAGAAATTATAAAGAGTTCAAAAGTTCAATCTTGGTTGTTCAAGGGAATTAGAAGGATGCCCGATAACATAACCTATATGACAGTAGTCCTATATTCCTCTCTACCAAAATGTATTAATATATGCTTAGCCCCCAGAAGACTATGTATTTTGAGATGTCTGCCGTGATATGCAATTTAAGTTAGTACAATGAGATGCAAAAGCTTCATCACTTTGGAAAAACACAAGTTTGCTGCTCAATACTTACTGTAAGCTCCGATTGCATTTTGGGAACAGCCTTGCAAGTAAAATTAGCCTTGAGATCTGATAGACTTACCTGTCCAGCAGAGCCCCCCCCCCCTCACTCTCTGTGCATCTTTAGCCTGATTCCTATCAAATAAATAAATTTATTTATTTAATATTTATTTATTTATTTGATATAGGCCAAAATCTCAATAGGTGTTGCCTCAAAGAGTTGGTGTCATGATTATTTATGTATTTAATCATGAAATGTTGCTTAATTTTTATTAAGCACCACCTTAATTTATCCAAAAGTGAACACTTGTTACAGTGCAGTTTCTGCTGTTACTGGAGATATTTTAGCGGACTATAGTCACTAGTTTTACCAGCATGGATGCATTGAATACTTAATTTACCTTTCTTAAAAAACTGTCGAATATCCATGCTGTCGACTCAATCTGACTTTCGGCAATGAACTGTCAGTTGTTGCGTTAGCATTTGATGTGGCGATGGTGACAGACACGTCAAATGCTAACGCAACACCTGTTGCGTTCAGGAAACCTGGGAGATTTAACATTACAATAATGGCAGGTTCTCGAAATCTAATTTAAAATGGCCACATTACATTGAATTTGATGCAATATATTAGCAAACGTACAGGAGAAATAAATAATACTTTTTTTAAATAATGCAATGAAATTATTTAGGGGGGCTAAAGACATTTTTAGGGAGGCTGAAGCCTCCCTAAAATAGGCCTAATGACGCCCATGATGAAGAAGCTGGAAATTGTGATGGAAGTCAAGCTTTATTAGAAAGCATCCAAGATTCAAATGAAAATCAAAGTATTTCTATCAAATCAGTCTTTCCCTCTCAAGCTGGCTTTATTCCACACAACCAAGAATATGACATTCCACCTCAAGTTAACAGAAG